TTCCCTGGGCAGCACAGCAGAGATGGCCCTGCTGGTGTGGGAGCCAGTGAGCCCACTCTGAGGGTAGAAGAGCAGGAGAGTAGGAGAGAGTAGGAGAGTGGGCCCTGCCCATTTCCAGTGAGGCATTGGGTGAGCTGTGCTGGAGAGCTCCCCCTGGTGGTGTGGGTAAGCGAGAGCTAGTGGGCTGACCAACTCAGCTACCACCCAGGCCTTGATCCAGGCATTTGAGATGGCACACCCCCAACATCTCTCCATCTATGAACTGCTGGAGTATGTGAAGGGGCCAGTCCTGTAGATCCGAAGCTGTAGGATCTCTGTGACACAGGGCAACAACAGGATACTTAAAGGAGTCCTGGAGAGGATCCAGTATTGATAGTGTAGCAGAAGCCAGAGGCCTGGAACCAGACATCAGTGTTTCCTTACGGTGGAGTCCTGGGGAAAGCAACCCTATCTGTAGTGTCAGAAAGTGGTCAGCAGCTGCCCAGGCTGCAGAGAAAGGTGGTCGGTTACAGGGCTTCCAGAGATACATTGGGGATGGAGATATGCTGAGACTTATGTTGGTTTCATGTATGTCACATTGTGTTTGAGGAAGCCCTCAAAGAAGCAGAAGGAGGATATGCTTTAGACCTTGAGGCCAAGGGTCATTTGCATTAGTCTCTCCCTGGAAGGAATGTCTGCAGCCTGAGTGAATTTGTGGAAGGCTGGGGGCAGAGGGACTGCTGCTGACTGGTGTCACCAGTATGAGTGGAAGACAGTAGGATACAGGATATGCTTCAAAAAGGAGATGGTGGAACAGGGAGGGAACACTGTGGTTGGACCTGGATGTGTTCAGTCCATGGGTAGAACTTGGGGTCAGGAGGGTGGCAGGTTGGCTAGGCTTGGAGAAGGTAGAGTCAAAATTTCAGAGGAGTGGGCTATCAAAGTGGTGAAGAGGTGTTGATGGTGGTCTCTAAGCTGGACAAAGAATCTGTGTGGCCAGAGACAGAATCATTTGGGATAGCCTTTCTTCCAGTTCTGAGTTTTCCTTTTCCTATAGCAGCCTATTTTGTTTCTCACTTTGGCTAGTGAGAAGCTCTGTGGCCACTTAGAAAGCTGGAAGTCCACTGGAGTCATGCCTCCACTGTTTTCCCTATCACTGAGCTGACCAAGGTGGTATTTTTCTCTATGGCCTCTCCCTCCCCAACCTGTCTTGTGAAATTCATCTCTGGGGCAGTATTGGGCTTGTCGGTTCACCTGCTGGCAACCACAGGGTGTTGGCCATCCTGTCTGGCAGTGCTCTTCCCTAGCTGTGATGGGAAGATGAACACAAGACCCAGAGCAGCGTCCATGCTGGCTACAGTAGTCATTATTGGGCTGTGGTGGTAAAATGTCAGCAGCTTAAGGAAAGACTGGCTTACAGGGGAAGGAAGGGTGTGGCAGGGCGGCAGTTCACCTTGGCAGCCAGCAGGGAGAAAGGGGAGAGGACAGGGTGGAGAGGGACAGGAAGGGGGGGGGAGAGAGAGAGAGGGAGAGAGGGAGAGAGGGAGAGAGAGAGAGAGCACTTTTTCTCCATTTCTCCTTGTACCCCAGCCTCCCTTAGTTAATCCTCTCTAGAAGTGACCTTAAGCACATGGACGGGGGAGGGCTCTTTATTACCGCTCTATGTGTCTTTCAAAACCATTAACCATCACACTGGTGCTAGGGGCTCCTTAAAGAGTCTTAAAACATAGCAGAAAGCACAGTGGCACACACTTTAAATCTAGCATACTTGCGAAGCAGAGGCAAATGGATCTCTGTGAGTTCAAAGCCAGCCTGGTCTACAGAGCGAGTATCAGGATAGCATGAGCTACAAAGTGAGACCTTGTGTCAAAATTAAATTATTAAAAAAAAATGGCGGGCCACACTCTACAGTATAAAAAAAGCATGGCGGATCAAGTTGATTCCACTGTAGCTCTGTGACTGAATGCCTGAGAGAAACTGAAGTGGAAACTTAAGGGTGTGTGCCCACCGAATCTCTGGGTCTCAATGTGCTCTACCCACCAGGCTTCCTGGCATGGTTTTACTGTCCCACAACTTACAGCATTGGAGATATGGAACATGAAGAGGCCACCTCCTGTGGCCCAGCAGGAACCCCAATGGAGAGCTAGGGACACTAACCCACACACAAAACTTTGACCCAAAATTTATCCTGTCTCCAAGAAATTCAGGTACAGGGGATGGAGCAGAGACTGAGGGAATGGCTGGATAAAACCCAGCCCAACCTGAGACCCATCCCATGGGCAAGCACTAATCCCTAACCCTATTAATGATACTCTTATGACTGCAGACAGGAGTCTAGCATGGCTGCCCTCTGAGAAGCTCCATCCAGCAGCTGACTCAGACAGATGCAGACACCCACAGCCTGACAGTGGGCTCTTATGGAAGAATAGGAGGAAGGATTACTGTCCTTGAAGGGGATAGGAACTCCACAGGAAGATCAACAGAGTCAACTAACCTGGACCATTGGGGCTCTCAGAGAGAGAACCACCAACCAAAGAACATACACAGACTGGCCTAGGTCTCCCCACGCATACGTAGCAGATAGGCAGCTTGGTCTTCACGTGGGTCCCAAATAACTGGAACAGGGACTGTCCCAAAAGCTGTTGCCTGTCCATGGGACATGTTCTACTAGCTGGGCTGCCTTGTTTGGCCTCAGTGGGAGACATAGCACCTAGCCTTGCAGAGACTTAAAGTGCCAGGGTTGAGGGGATACCCAGGGGGCCCCACCTGCTTAGAGGAAAAGGGGAGGGGGATGAGTGATTGTGGGAGGGGGTGACCAAGAGGGTGGCAATGAGCTAGATGTAAAGTGAATAAGTAAAATACTACTACTACTACTGCTACTGATAGGTATGGTATAGCCATGGGTTTCTTTACTCAGCCTCTTTGTTCCCAGAATAATGACTCTGAGACTTACTACTTATGAATAAATGCCAAGGCCATTAGGTTTGGCTTGTTCTCCAACTGGTTCATAATATATATTCTAGTCTAAGTCTGCTGTATGTTTGGTTACCTCTCCTCAGTTTCATTCATCCATCTCCTCTGAGTCTGGGGAAATCTCCTGCCTGCGTCTAACTCCCAGAATTCCAATCTCTGTTTACTGGAACTCCCATCTTCTATTTCCTGCCTCAGCTAACAGGCCATCTGCTTTTTATAGACAGGCTGTGCTTCTACAGTATGGCCTTGTTGGAGGAAATGTCTCAGGAGGTGGGCTTTGAGGTTTCAAAAGCCCAGGCCAGGCTTAGTGCCTCTCTCTGCTTGTGGATCAAGATGGATGCAGCTTTCAGCTCCTTCTCCAGCACCACCCCTGCCTGCTGTCATGCTCCCCGCCACAATGATAAAAGTTTGATCCTCTGAAACAGTAAGTTCCCAATTAAATGCTTTCATACAAGAGTTGCCTCGGTCCTGTGTCTTTTCATAGTGTATTAGACCAGTTAGGCTGGCTGGGCGTTGTGGCACAGATCTGAACCTCAACCACTTAGGAGGTAGAAAAGCCAGAAGGAGAGACACATTGAGTCTGTCTCCAAACAAAGTGCCTCTCTAGTCCTAGAATTACAAATAAGTACTACTATGCCCAGGTAGGTGATAATGATCCAACATATTTGAGACTAATGGGGCCATGTGTGTATCTGTAGAGCCTTACAGATGCTGAGTTCAAATGGGACCTAATCAATTGTTAGAGTCACAATGCACCTCCCTTTTCCTACACCAAAACTTTATCACCAATGCAACAGAAACAAGATGGTCCTTTAGGTGACTAAGTCATTAGGCTGGACTCCTTGATGGACTGGGAACCCTTAGAGGAGGTCTTACGTAAGGACCCAGCCTTCATCGCTTGTGGTCCTCCCTCTGCCACACTGAAGATGCAGCGAGCCATCTCTGGAGGAGAACTGAAATTATCCTTTGGATTTGCAGAATATGGAGCTTGTGAGGAATCAATTTTGTTTTCTATAACTATCTCAGGCAACAGGAATGGCTAAGCATTCATCTATAGGCAGGTCTCATTTGAGGCCCTAGGGTTCATGAGGCAGAATCCTAAAACCCTATTCTGTTGGAACACACAGACCAAAGCAGGAACAATTGATGCTCTACTTAACAAGGGTCATTCTAAACATTAAACATGAAAACAAATCCTGAGAGTGTGTTTGCTTTTACATGCTGAGGCCTCTGAAGTTAGACGGGAATCACACAATTTAAAAGGATCGGACTATGAATCCTTGGGGGACTGAGTGCTTTGCATGTGTGCATAACATCTGGAGTTCCTGTCTTTCAATGGGTAAGTCATTTATTTTTGTTTTTTGGTCTACTATGTGCATGTGTGTTTGTGCACACGTATGTGTAGTCGCCAAAAGTTGGTGTTGTGTCTTTCCCTATCATTTCTCCATCCTTAGATTTTGACACGGTTTCTGGAAATGGCTGGTCAGCAAGTTCTGGGCATCTACCTGTCTCTGCCTCTTCAGTGCTGGGGAGACAGATTCACGTACTGCCGTGCCTAAGTACTGGGTACCAACTCAGGTCCTCACATTCGAATATGCAGCAATTGCTTCATCCACTCAGCACCTTCCATGTTTATTTTCCCCCATGTAAAAAGTCAGGGTGTGGGACTGGAGAGATGGCTCAGAGGTTAGGAGGACTGCTGTCTCAGACGACTAGAGTTCAATTCCTAGCACCTCTATACGGTGGTGGCTCACAACAATCTGTAACCTCAGCTCCAGGGAATCTGACCTCCATAGGCACCAGGCATGTACGTGGTGCATACACACACATGCAGGCACAAGTCAGAGTTGGGGGATGTAGCTCAGTGACAAACAATGTGCCTGTCATGCTTGAGACACTGTGCCTGGGTTTGATCTCCAGCAACCACTGTTCACATCCCTATTTAAAGGGATGGAGAGTGAACTGGAAGACAATGAGAACACTACTTTAATCAGCACACTGTACTTTTCAGTTCCACTCATAATTACAGCAAAAAAGATTTGCCTTGCTTATTGATTTTTTGGCTGTCCTTTATTTAGCTAGGTGTTTAGAAAAGTTAAACTTTAAAATCCCCTCAAATTACTGAAAGCTTATGTTCCATATATATAAACTTATTCAAGACAATCTCAGAAGCCATAGTTAGGGATGGTGGTCAGGGAAAACTCGCCTCGCCTGAGTGAGGCCCCAGTGTGATCCCAGCACTATATAAAAACACTTGCTTTAAAAGCCATTCAGATCTTTCTCTTGGAGGGTCCCACTCAGAGCTGATGGTCTCTTATTCACTCTGTGCTGTCCACACTAGCCTGAATTTGTGGCATTCTGCTGCTCAGCTTCCCAGACGGTAGGCATGCACAACATGCCTGGCTGAAGGCATTCTTTCTGTATTTAAACCTGACCTTTATATAGTCAGAAGCTCGACAGGTGGTGGCTTCAGTGGAATTTTTCCCAGGGTAAATTTCTGGGATTGAAACTGTTCCAGTTCTTCCTTCGTCAGCTGATCCCTGGGTGTGAACAGTGCGTTATCAGTGGCACTGGAGGCTGGGACAGAGGTAGATATGCTGCTCCCTCCAAACATGTCAGTGGAAGGTTTAGCAAATACAGCCTGAGAATGTGGGCTAGGACTGCCAAATCCAGCCACAGAACTCCCACTTCCGAAAGCAGGGGCTGTTGAAGGGCCAAAGGGACTTGCTGCCACGGAAGCTGGAAATCCTGAAAACCCAGGTGATCCAAAACTGGAAGCTTCGGGGCTCCTGAATGAAAATGACGCAGCAGATGTGGTGTCAGGTTTCCCAAGTCCAAAGGCTGGAGTGGAGGAAGAGATGGTGGAGCCAGCAGAGGGCCCAGCCCCAAAGCCTGGGTGACTTCCAAACACTGATGTGCTTCCAGAAGGAACAGTGCTAAGTGCAGGGCTTGTTTTAAAACTAAAGTTCTGAACAGTATTGCTGCTGCTGTTATTCACTGGAAAACCTACAAACAGATTACAGTCAGAAAATGTGGCCACGCCCCTCCTTTCTCTTATTTCAGACATGTATAGATATTGAAGAATTTAGGGACACATGAAAACAAAGCTAAACCAATCCTCTAAGCCCCACTGCCCTGTCATGACTCTGCTACCATGACTCATGAACCCATGAGCAGTCAGAGTGGGGGTACACTTTCGGGTTGCTGTACTTTTCAGCAGAGCAGCCTTGTGACTGCTGTGTGCTGACAAAAGTCTCAAAGACACTGCTGCTACAGTGGTGTGCTCCTATCAAATTCCAGAGAACCTTGTTGTGAAGGCCAAGCTTGCCTTGAACTTTTGATTCTTTACTGCAGCCTCTGAATGCTAGAATTATATGTATATCATCACACCTAGTTTCCTATGAGGCTGAGAGACATTCCTAAAATGTTCTTCTAGAGCTGGGAGTGGTGGGTCCCATCTGTAATCCCACTGCAGGGGCAGAAGCAGAAGGATCAAAAGTCCTGGTTTACACAGTGAGTTTTAGGCCAGGGCTACACAGTAATACCCTGTCTTAGAGACAAAAGAACTTCTAACAGCTGAGCCACAGCCCTCCGCCCTCGCCCCACTCCACTGGCCTGCCTTTCCAAAGCATTTGTGGAGGTAAGTTCTTCAAGGAGCCAAAATGGAGGAATTTGTGAGAATTATTTAAAATGGTGATTCAAGCTTTCTAAAGTTGAAATCAGAATCCCACTTTTCCGAGCCACACTCTGTCTCTTACCTGGTGACCCAAACGCCCCTGCTTGCTTACTTCCAAATCCAAACGCAGGTGCTGCGTGACTGACCCCATCCTTTACATCAGAGAGCTTAAAAAAACCAAACAAATACAATACTTCATGAATAATTATCAGAGGCTGTTGCTATACAATAAAATTTTAAAATGTATTATTTAAATATGCATTTTTAACATATAAAATGTCCGTAATATGATCATGAAAAAGAAAGGATATAATATTCTATAAATGATCTACATAAAACTGCACTAGAAATGAACAATGGTTATCTCTGGTTGGGGAACAATAATTTTACACTTGTTAAACTTCAACTTGTTAAATTCAATTTGTTAAATTAAAATTGTTAGAATTCAACTTGTTAAAAACAACATATCATAATCAGAAAAGCATTTCTTCTTTTAAAGAATTATTTATTTTATGTATATGAGTACACTGTAGCTGTCTTAAGATAACCCAGAAGAGGGGTTCAGACCCCATTACAGATGGTTGTAAGCCACCATGTGGTTGCTGGGAACTGAACTCAGGATCTCTGGAAGAGCAGTCAGCGCTCTTAACCACTGAACCATCTCCCTAGCCACAGAGAACATTTTTTTTTTTTTAAATCAAGATACATTGTATCCATCTATAAAAACTTCAAGAATAAATAAAATTGCATTCTAAAAAAAATACATACACCAGTGTTTATAAAGTTAAACTTGCATTTGTTAGTCACTCCAGATACAGGTGAAAAGACTGTCAAGGGTGCCCAGTCCACTTCCTCAAATGCTTCACTAGAGTGTAGTCAGTGATATAAAAAGCTTCCTACTTCCTAAGCTTCCTACACAGTATCTGCTGTGACCCTTTAATACAATTTCCTCATGTTGCGGTGACCCTTCCAAACATAAAATTATTTTAGTTGCTACTTCAAAACTGTAATTTTGCTACTGTTATGAACTATAACATAAATATCTGATATATAGATGTCTCATATGTGACCCCTGTGAAAAGGTCACCCCCTCAGGTTGAGTAGAAATGATTTGTTTTCACGTATTTCAGTGACTCCTAACACACTTATAATCATCACAAACAAATTTCTACTACCCTTAAGAGTTCCCTATGCCCTTCCTGGGCAGATAACAACCCTTTCTCCACTTCTGGTCCCACACAATTAATTGCTCATTACCTCATCACTACAGATAGGGTTTTTTGTTTTGTTTTGTTTTTTCCTTGCTTCTTCTTACTGGAGTAATAGTCACCAATAGGTAAATGGATAAACAAATGTAAGTATACTATACTCATGGTAAAAGAGTAACAATGATGTGCTAAGCCCTGAGGACGGGCTGTTCCAGATGAGCAGGGAGGGACCTTACAACACTACCATGGCCAGGAAGCATTCATCCCAGGGATGGTTTACAGTTAGACTCAGGTATCACTGTTCTATCAGCTCTCAGCAGTGGTAAAGGCCACTTCTCAGCTGGGGTGAGAATGTGCTGGAACAACCCCACTAAACTCACAGCTGCAAGATGGAATAAACACATCTGTAAGTACTTGAGTTTGTAATAATTTCCAACTTTCAAAACTAGTCCTACCCCAGTTAAAATTCTTATGTTAAAAGTTTTAAAATTTATTTATTTAGAAACAAGGTCTAAGCATCCCTGGCTGTCTTGAACTCCAGTATGCAGATCAGGTTGCTCCGAACTCAGAGATCTGGTCTATCTCTGATTCCCCAGTGCTAGAACTAAAGGAATCTACCATGTATAACTGAAAATTGGTTGTAAAAAGCACAACTGTTCTTACTTTTCTGAGAAACAAATAAATTCTAGAGCTTGAGCTCTAGATGACCATGTGGTGAGGGTGTGTGGGCACAGGGTGAGGGAGGGTGTGTGGGCACAGGGAGAGCACTTGGTGATAGGATGTGAGTTATGATCCTTTACAGAGACTTTGCTTTGCCCTTCAAATTAAAAATGAAGCATCCTCTACCAAAAGGCACTAGGGGGGCTGGAAAGATGGCTCATAGGTTAAGAACGCTGTTCTTTAAGAGGACCTGATTTCGATTCCCTGCACCACATGGCAATTTTTAACTATAACTGCAACTCCAGGGGATTGGACACCCTCTTCTGACCTCCACTACATCAGGCACATACTTGGCACACAGACATAAATGCAGACAAAACACTCACTCACATAAAACAATGGAAATTTAAAAATAAAAGCAATAGAGCCAGTGCACGCCTTTAGTCCTGGCACTCAAGGTGGGCACAGGGGTTCTCTATGAGTTCCAGGCTAGTCAGGGCCTTTTCAGATGAGACCCTGTCTCAAGAAACACATGAAAAGAACAAAAAGCTAGACCCAGTAGAGATATGTCTATAATCCCAGTATGGAGGAGGCCAAGACAGGTGGTTGTGAGTTCAAGAGAGTTCAAGAGCAGCCTGGGCTACGTGACAAGTTGCAGGACATCCTGGTCTACTTACTCTTGTCTTAAAAACCTACACAAAACAGAATAGAATAGATGAGATACTTCTTTGAAGAAAATTCTTTGGTACTCACCAGAGCTCCTTTGGTTGACATATTTAGATTTTTCAGTTCATTTATCCTATTTCTCCACTGACTTACTAGCTGTTGAACAGAATTTAGCTGGAGAGAGAAAACAAAAATAACTCAGAATTGACTGTTTAAGCCCCGCTCCTGTTTGCCAGAGATATTCCAGGTCTAGTTGCCTCTCTCTGTTCTCTCACTCCCTGTAACTCACGGCTGATCACCGGGAAGTGCAGAGCTGGTGCTATCTGGACAGAAGGGAATTATGTGTAGTAGCTGGAATGCACAGTCCTGACTGCAGACAACAGAAATTATTTACTTCAGGCAACCCAGCTTATGCTACTGGCCCACTCAGACTGGTTTCTTTTGGATGTCTGGTCTGTGAGTGTTAATCTGTTGGGCAGAACTCTGCTTTCTTGGTCTCCAACATGGCTCACCACCAATGGAAGCAAGAACGTCTTTCAGATGACAGATTGTCTGAGACGACGGACTGGTCGATAGGTAACTTATAATAAAAATAATATCCCTTATCATGATAGTACATCATTACTAATTTAGAAAATGGAACAATTTTAAAGGCATTGACCTACAAAAAAAAAGAAGGCATTGACCTACAAAAAATTAACAGTTCTCACTGTTTAAATATGCTTGGCCCAGAGGCAGTGGTACTATTAGGAGGTGTGGCCTTGTCGGAGGAAGTGTGTCATCAACCAATAGACTCTCATAGGCTCTCTTCACAATGTCAAGCCTCAACTTCTCTGCATGATCCCTTCAAGCCTGGGCTTTCAACTGACACTGAGGCTGCTCTCAAGGCTTCTCACAGTGACAGGCTGCTCTTCATGACTCCCTTCATGCCTTCAAAACCTGTACTATATGGGTGACTCTTACACATTACCAAGTCCAGCTACAGCACAAGGTACAACCTTGGCGATCTCTGGAACACATCTTCTTTGTGATCTCAGAAAACACTTCCCAGATTTCACCTCAAGTGATGCTGGTCTCTTCTTCTTTTTCTTTTCTTTTTTTTTTTTTAAAGTTTTTATTTATTTATTATATGTAAGTACACAATAGCTGTCTTCAGACATCTCATTACAGATGGTTGTGAGCCACCATGTGGTTGCTGGGATTTGAACTTAGGACCTCCAGAAGAGCAGTCAGTGCTCTTAACCACTGAGCCATCTCACCAGCCCGATGCTGGTCTCTTCTTAAGCACTGCTAAATTCTTAGCTCCAGATAACCAGCATTAGTAGTTCCAGTAACCCCTTCTATTCTTTACTTTAAAGCCAGAGCCACATGGCTGAAGTTGCTGAGTTCTGCTGCTTGCTAGGGCTCAATTATGGTCCCCTGTCCTATTACATTATTACCAGTATTTTGTTTCCAGCTCCTTCAGTACCCAAGCTTGGCTGTCCTGAAATAACTTCTGTAGATTGACCTTGAACTCAGACATCTGCAAGGCTCTTGTCTCCTTAATGTTGGGATTAAAGGTGCCTGGCCTTCTGCTTTTCTTTACCTGGAACTTGCTCTGTACCAGGCTGGCCTTGAACTCAGCAATCTGCTTGCTTCTGTCTTCTGAGATTGAAGGCATGTGCCACCATACCTGGACCCTAAGCTTTTCATTATTGATCTTAATCAAGTTGAAAACCAAGAATAGCCATCATGATCCATCCCTTGTCAATTTGATACATAATGGTATCTGCTTATGTGCAAATGAAAACAATAACCAGATCATAGTAACACCTAACATGATATAACTCTCCCTTGTATAGTTATGCAAATGCATACCCTTAGCTGGGTGGGATCTTGCCTTAAGGTCACCACTTTCTTAATTCCATTTACTCTTCTTGAACACAGGATTTAGCCTCATTCCACTTCCTGGTACCCCTTTACTCTTTGAATCATACATTTTGTATTTTTCCTTTCTAAGCTTGCTATACTTGATCAAAACAGTCTTCATGAGAGTAAACCAGAGGACAAAGTCTATGCAGGGCTTTTTTGAAACTTCCTTTGTCAATGCAATTAATATAAATCTCTTTACCTTAGCCTCAAGCAGATTCTTTTGATAAGGGCAAAACCCAGCAACATTCTTCACCAAAACATCTGAAGAACAATCTCCATAGTTGAAATCATCCTCAGCACCAATGTCTTCCATATTCCTACTAGGATAGCCCACTAAGCTCCACTTAAAGCATTCCATTGATTTCCAAACCAAAGTGTCAAAATCCACATCCCTCCAAACAAAAACATGGTCAGGCCTATCACAGGCCTGCCTTAGAGTTTCCATTGTTATGAAGAGAAGCCATGACCAAGGGAACTCTTATAAAGGCAAACAATTAATTGGGGCTAGCTTACAGTTTCAGAGGTTCAGTCCATTACCATCATTTTGAGAAGCATGGCAGCAGACAGGCAGAAATGGTGCTGGAGGAGGAGCTGAGAGTTCTACATTTTGACCTAAAGGCAGCCAGGAGAGGACTCCTTTCTGCAGGCAGCTAGGAAGAAGCTCTCTTCCATACTAGGTGGAGCCTGAGCATAGGAGACTTTCAAAGCCCAGCCCCTCAGTGACATACTTTTCCTCCAACTAGGCCACACCTCCTAACAGTGCCACACCCTATGGGTCAAGCATATTCAAGCTACCACTCTCATCAAACATGCCAAAACACAAGCAAGCCACTACAAACACAGAAAGCAGTAATTGGCAGCCAATTGCTACTGAGGTAGAGGAAAAGAAAACAAACTTACATAGCTCTGTAAGTTATTGCTGGTTAAGAAGTTATGGTATTCAAGCCTCAACTCCTCTGGTGAAATGTCTGTGAAACCTGAAGTGAGGAATCAGTTGGAATTTAAACAGTAAGTACTGTTGATTCTGGTAGTAAAGCTAGAGGTTGAGACAAAATGTGATAATGCTGGTTATCAGAAAAATTTTAAGATCACAGGAAAAAAAATCAAAGCCTATACATTAATGTTTAAATTATTAAATTGGAAGAAAATATAGTTATTTCATCCATGAATGAAGAATTTTGTAAAGACAGAGTGGAAAGAAAACAAGAGCTGACTACAAACACTTTCAAACCAATGCTGTTATATCTGCGATACACAAATTGAAAAGGCAAATGAGAAACCAGGAAAACCACAACTGCATACACATGAGTAACATTTTTAATACAGAAGCATTGTTCCTAAGTCAGTACAGAGGCAGGCAAAGACAGAAAGTACAAGCAGCACACTACAATTTCAAAAGGCAAGTAAATAAAAGAAAGAAAACTTAAAAATTCAACTAAGAAATAAAACACTCTCCTCACAGACCGGCAGACATTAAGAACAGATGATCACTGTCACTCAGGTGTGGTAATGGATTTTACTGTCTACACCAATGACTGTACTTTTAGCACTGAGGACACTAAGAAAGGCAATGTTCTTATTTTTTACACAGATGTCCTTGGAGCCCATGTACCATTTAGTTTACTCCAGTACAAAAAGCACCCAGGAATCATACTGGATTTGTTTGTTTTTCTGTATCTAAAATATTGGCATCCTGCTGGTTCAAAACAGAACTCAACTGTGCTGATTCTGTGTCCACTGCCAATAGCTCTAAGTCGGTCATCAGCAATCACTTCCTAACTTGTTTCCCTGCCTCTTGTCTTGTTCCCATTCCCACAAGCTCATTCTCCCTCCTTCTGCACCACGGAGTCAGCTTTTTCTAGTCAGACCGCATTCTTCTGAAGCTCTTCAGTAGTTGCACATCCAATGGAATCAGAGCGAATATCACATGGACCCGGGCCACTGCTCTGGCTTTATGCTGTTTCGTTTGTTATTTTCTTTCTTCTGTTATTTGGGCTCATTGCTCTCACCTCAAGGCCTCCACTAGCTATCATTTTGCTGGGAATGTTTTTCCCCAAGCTTCTTGTAACAGATGCCTTCTCCTCACCCAGGGCTTAGCTCTTAACGGGGCTTATTAGAAGGTAACAACTCTCTGTCAAGGAGCTCTGTTTACCTCAGTCTCTACTCTCAAGCTGTGGTCAACCAGTTTCTTATCTGAATTACAGAATACAGAATTATTTGAGTAGCTATTTTCTCAGGTTTTAAAAGGATGGTTATGTAATGGCTGATCCTGTCGGTCAGTGTCACTCTTGGGGAAGAACCTCAGTTGAGGAGCTGTCTGTTAGACTGCTGTGAGCATGTCTGTGGGACATTCTCTTAGTTACTGATTGATGCATGAGGGCTGAGGGCCCAGCTCACTGTGCTTAAAACCATCAGTTTTAAAACCAGGTAGTTGGAGCTGGTCTGAGTGAGAAAGCTGAGCATGCCTGGGGAAGCAAGCCAGTAAGCAGTGTTTCTCTGTTCTGCTTCAAGCTCTTCTTGCCTTTGGTTCCTGCATGGGCTTCCCTCAATGATGGACTGATAGCCCGTAAGCCGAAAATACCCTTTCTTCTCAAAGTTACTTCTGGGTCATGGTGTTTACCACAGCAACAGAAAGGAAATTAGGATATGGTACAAAAGAAATATTCTAGCTACAGAGAAAAAGTTCACTCTTTTGTTGTTTGTTTTTTATCTTTTGAGAAAGGGTTTATATGTGTAGCCCTGGCTTTCCTGGAACTAGGTCTATAGATCAGGCTGGCCTGGAACTCACAGAGATCCACCTGCCTTTACCTCCTGAGTGCTGGGATTAAAGCTATGCTCTAACACCAACAGAAAAGTTAGGACTTTATAATGAAAATGTATCCACATACATTTCCAAAACAAAAGAATAAAATGAGGTGGACAGCACACCTGTGTCTACACATTAGATTATTAAGCTCATTAACATTTGGCTTCTCAACTAAGTTAGTTTTTTAAAAAATGTTATTTTTAAGTATATGTATGTGTGTGTTCTGGAGTACTGACACATAAGTGCAGATGTCTGTAGAGGTCAGAATGCAGTGCTGGCTCCCCTGAACTAGTTACAGCAAGTTGTGAGGCAGCCAACATGAGTGCTGGAAACTGAACTCACATGCTCTGCAGCAGAAGCCCATGCTCTTAGTTGCTGAGTGGCCTCTCACCAGCTCTGACTGCCAGTTCCTGTATGTGCTTCTCGATGTGCTTCTGCATTCATCCTGCTATTGGCTGTTGTATACAAACTACATCCCTAAGACAAACCACCAGAAAAACAAGTCTCAGTGGCTTTTTCAGATAAATGTGGCTATAGAGTGGAAGTGTTTTTCTAGACAGGGCCTCACTCTGTAGACCAGGATTTAACTACAGAGATCAGCCCACCTCTGCCTCTCAAGTGCTAGGATTAAAGGTGCGTGCCACTATGCTCAGACAAGTGGGAGGTTTTTAAAGGCCAGTTATAAAGCAGATGTAAAAGCCAATGAACTTTTTGTGTAGTTATGTTACAATTCGTTAGTTTACCTTGGACTTAGAATGGATTTCAGCCAGTGTGATTCTGTAACAAGACATTTTGGTCTTGAACATGCCTTACAGAACTTCCATACATGACATAGAGCCCTCTAGAATGCAAAAACAAAACCACAAACTAACCCTGAAGTCAACACATATTCATGCTGTCACTAGTTTTACTAGAAGAGATTTTTAAAGACTGAGAAGCTGTTGTCCTCATGTGACAGGAAGGTTTTCCATGATTCCACCTTTTCCTAGGAAATTTCAGTTTTACTATTGGCAGTAGCCCTGTCATTCTCTGCCACTCTCGCCCCTTGAGGTAGCAGGTTTATCTCATCCACTGTTCAGAAAATACCTGCCAAAGCTAAGTGTGAATGACCACAGTTGGTATTCTTTTCAGTACAATTTGTCTGTGACAAAAGTCCCTTATAGTGAGCACCATATGTGGGTACAGGGCAGAAGCATGGTGAATATGAACCTCCCGCTTTGTCTCAGATATTTAAAATGCATACTCAATGGCTAAGAGGTCTTAAAAGTCAGTGATTTTTATTTCATTAAAAATGGGGATAATTTTATCTCCTCAAGTTAGAATGACGTTCTAAATTCTTCTTTCTATGATTACTATAGTCTACTAGCAATTTGTTGCTCTGTCTCAGTTTATGTTAAATCCAGTAGTTTAACTCAACAACAGTTTTATACCAATACCACACATTTCAGCCCTGAAGTGGCCATTAGTGTCTTAATATTATTATTAAAACTTCTATGAATGTCTCTAGTTTCTACAGATATCTCAGGGATAAGCTACCAGATTTAACTAACAAACAAACCCAGATGTCTACATAAATTGAAATTTCAAATATAAAACAAATTTAAGTATGTCCCAGATATTACATAGAGCACATATATTGAAAACATTTTCTTATCTTTAAATTTATCTGAATGTCCGATGTTTTGTATCATCACCCTATGCGGTGCTCTCCATATTTCATATTTTGAAATGTAAGCCAGAGATGTAAGACATCAGGCTTCAGGTCCACTTGTGAATTAAGACTGAATACTTGGCAGTACTTACGTTTTAATATTTAGACCAATCTAGGGCTAAGTTTATTATTTGCTTACAGAAACTACCACTATCTTAAATGATCTGTTCTCACAGATTCTTGTTTTCTTTCCTCCAGAATGTAAGGTTCGGGAAGAACCCCAACTGCTCAGATGCAGATCAGGGTACAAGACAAACCAAAGTCAGCGAAGAGTTTTTACCTGAATAAGTGAGGGATGGAGGCGAGTGGAGGTGAGGGGTGAGGCCCAGCGGCGCACCTGGAATCTGACCCTGACTTCAGGGCTCCACGGGGCCATGCCTGTAATCTCCTAACAGGAGAGACTCTGGCTCTCCGTGAGGCTTGGAAGAACTTGGTAGCCATAGGGAAAAACAAAAGGGAAAGAAAGGAATCATCTAAAGAAATGCCATCCCTGTAGCTCCCTGAGGATCTCAACAGGCTTTATGAAGCAGCAGTATTCTTGGGGAGGAAGAAGAGGAAATGTAAGGCAGCAGCGAGGGCTGTAATGGTGGGCAGCACGGGTTCCTCCTGTTGCTGAGGTAACTAGAGAGGACGTCCTGAGGATTTACAGAAGGACCCAGTAAAGCAGAGGCTCTCCTTAGGTTGACTGAAATAGAATTGTGGTGGGTCCTAATTTCACTATTCTTTCTTGAGAATAAATAATACAATGTAAAAGAATTACATTATGGCTCTCAGTCTCTGAATCATGAAGTTTAGCTGGAATACTTGGATACTTTGAAAAAAGTATCTAGCTGTGCCTAAGTCTGGGACAAATGTATTTAGCATGGCCTAGTTTTAGACAGTAGAAATTTTATATTTTAAAAACACATACAAGTACTGGGCTGGGTCCATAGCCTAGTGGCAGGGCTTTTGCCTAGCGTGTACGCAGGTCTGAGTTCGATCCTCACCAAAAATCAACCAACAAGTCAACCACATGTTTCCAAGTTACCTGAAATGTTGGGTTTCTTTCTCACTGGTGAGTAAACAGAAAACATCCACTGCCCTGACGACTCCCAAACCTCTATGTCCTTAACAATTCCTTCCCTGGAAAAAAGGAAAGAAATAAAAATGAGAGTAATGAATATTTTCACTTGCTTGTTAAAATGTTACTTATGAAGTTGAATGACTGAAAATTTAAATTCTAGTAAATACATAAATTTACATATTTTTCATTTTCCTTTTTTTTTTTTCTTTCTTTTTCTTTTTTTTTTTTTGAGACAGGGTTTCTTTCTGTAGTCTTGGCTGTCCTGGAACTCACTTTGTAGACTAGGCTGGCCTCAATTCAGAGATCCACCTGCCTCTGCTTCCAAAGTGCCAGAATTAAAGGCATACAACACCACCATCTTATTTTCTGAAGACTCAGAAGTTTACAGAACTATGAATTACAACCTGAGGATTGTAGAGTACAGTTATAATTCCAGCACCTGGGTAGTTGAGGAGAATTTTGAGGCTAGGCAGGATAATACATTTTGTTTAAGGTCAATCTGGGCTGCACATTGTTTCCAAAACAACAAACACCTTGTATTTTGTAGTTACAAATAATATAGAATAATTAATAGTGTTAGCGTCTTAATTCACAGAAAAACGAATTGACATACTTAAGGATTATCATAAATATAATCTTTTTAAAAGAACTAAATACAATGCACAGTAATTTTAACTGGAAACAATAAAAAGTACTACGATCAGTTATAGAAAATCATTAAAATTTAAGAGTGGGTTATAGGACTTCAAATATATTTTACTTAATTTTTCTATAAAACAGGAAACAGGTCCATGTACTTAAAACATATATTTTTAAATACTCTATTTTTAGTTTTATGTGCCTTGGTGTTTTGCCTGGATGTATGTCTATGTGAGGGAGTTGGATCCCTTGGACTGGAGTTACAGTTATGAGCTGCTGTGTGGGTGCTGGGAATTGAACCCAGGTCCCCTGGAAGAACAGCCAGTGTTCTTAACTGCTAAGCCACCTCTCCAACCTTCAGGTCTGTGCACTTAACAGCTAATCTGATCAAAGTTATAGATACATTTGGCTCTAAATTAATGTTTCTTTCAGATTAAACGTGACCATTAACTAGTAAAGTGATAGGTATCACAAGAATATGTTATTACACTTAGAATCACAATAGAACTTTGCCTTGTTACACCCCCCCCCCCCCACACACACACACCAATTGATGCTTGCCTAAAACAGTTGAAGATTTAGGTTCAGTCCTCAGCATTTCAGAAACAAGCAGCTGGCGAGGTGACACACACCTTTAGTCCCAGCACTCTGGAGACAGAGGCAGTGAGACCTGAGTTACAAACCAGCCTGGGATACATAGGGAGACAAGGCTTTCAAATAAAACAAAGCCCACATGCTCCCTTAGAAAAATATATCCCAAACAAACCTAAAAGTCTACTGTTTATGGAACTTCAAATAGGGTAACTGAAATAAAGGTTTTACAAAGAAAGATATGATATTATCAGTAACCTTGAGGATAGTGATTGTTCTGAGTTACCCAATACTCTGTAAAGATCGCAGAGTACACTGACTACTTAAGCAAGACTAACCTATGAAAAGTGGAAGTAATAAGAGTATGGATATTTTCACAGTAGGAAGTGGACCAGAGTAGGCAGTCGGAAGAATGCACCCTGCTAAGTGACATGGTCTAAGATGCTCATAGTGTGAACAGGCTGGCCGAGCCACAGGATCATGGGCAACTTCTTTTTCTTGTTTTGCTTACTCTGATTTTCAAAACCATTCTTTTTTTTTTTTTTTAAACAAAACACTGTAAGTGCTTCTGGAAAAACCAAGCAATTGATTTTCTACGATACTTTAACTCACAGAAGTTTCTTTTCTTCTTTCTGCTCATCGGAGAGAGGTGAAGCAAAAGGGTTTTGAGATGACCCAAAGCCTCTGCTGGTGGAAGCTCCAGAATCAAAAGAGCCGAATGGTGGTTTGTCCTGATCTCTGCTGCCACCCCATGGTGTGGACTTGGGGAAGCTGGATGGCTGGATGACATTGGAGTACCTCTGGCTGCTGGCATTCCACCCTCGACGGTTACTCCCTAAAATAATCAAGAAAACAAAACAATCAGAAAATTGATAACTTTTTCAAATGTTGAAAATCTCTATTACATTTTATCTTATGTCTTGAAATTATACAAAGGCTACTAAAGTGCTATTTCCTACTAGTTTTAAATGGCAATCCCTTTATGATTTATAGTTTGTTATATGTTATTAACAAATCATATAATGTTCTATTTACATTAAAAAATGAGTTCAAGGCCAGGTGTGTTGGTGTAGGAATTTAATCACAGCACTGTGGGGGGTTGAGGGGAGGAGAGACAGGCAGATCTCTAAGTTCCAGATCAGTTAGGGCTACATAGTGATGCCCCCATCTCAAAAAGTAAATAAAAAACCCAAAACCCAAGCCAACAAAAAGCAACAACGAAAGGAGATCAATGTGATCATAGAAATATAAAGATATATTGCTGAGTTCAGTGTTAAGCCTATTAAATTGACCATGGGGGAATAAATAAAAAATACTCTAAACATCTCTAAAAGCTTTGGAGTGAGCCTAGTATGGTCAAAGCCCTTGTTTGACCTAGCAATGGATGTATGTGTATGTTTCTGTACCGGGCCATACAGAGACAATGAATAAACTGAATAATAAAAGGAGTTAAATTTTACTTTCTGTCCTTTAATAGTTATTTAAGAAGTGTTTGCCTCAGTCTTTACTCTGTAGACACAATGTCCATATACCTATCCTTCAATGGAGATTACAGAACTTACTAATAGGTGGATAAAGAACAGTGTAGATTTCTAACAACTCATAAACATAAAAAAATTAGCCAATAGGACTTGTTTCAGGTTTTGATACTGTTTTTAATCTTATCACTTACTAGTTGATGCTAGGAGAAAGATAATTTATCTTAGGATTCAGAAGATACGTCATTTTATACTAAAAACAGAGTGATAGGTGTACCCATATTCTAAACTACTCAATAAATCCAAAAAGAAGGAAGCTGAACTTCATCTCTGAAGCAGGAATTAATGGCAGTTTTGAAGGTCCAAATCCTTTGTAGGGGTTACACAGCATAGAAATAAAACTTCCTTTATGCTGCACTCAGTGGCCCTAATTTGGGCCTTAAAATTCCAAAGCATTCCTTTTTTTTTCTTTTCATCCTAAAGTTTTATTTATATTTTATTTTTCACCTAATTATCTATCTACTGAACATCTACTTGCAAATTACATTTAAAGTAGGCTTCCAGAGACCCGTCGACAAATATTACTCTCAGCAGTCCCTGGGAGTACACCAGTATCTATCGGAAGCTGAGTCCTAATTTGGAGTCTTTCACTAGACAGATTGTAGATGATACAATCTGTCTCCTTCGCGAAAAGAGTGGAAACATGAAACCACTATGCAACAAAGGAGCTGGAGGAGCCTTAAAGAGAAGAGGAAAGAGAAGCACACACTTATAACGTCAAGAACTAGGTTCCACTGGGAAGTGGTAGCACATGACTTTAATTTCAGCACTCGGGAGGCAGAGGCAGGTGGATCTCTGTGAGTTCAATGACAGCCTGGTCTACAAAGGAGTTTCAGGACAGCCAGGGCTGAAAGAGAAACCCTATCTCTAAACAACTAAAACCAAAACCAAAACCAAACCAAACCAAAAACCTAGGTTCCAAAACTAAGAGAATAAAATGTACTTATCTGCCTTTTAAAACCTTGTGTGTGTTGTGCTGGTTTAATGTCTGACCCCTGAATACCCTTCCCACAAAACCTGTAAGGTTCTTGGTCCAGTGTCCGAAAGTACCAACTAAAGCCCAAAGTTTAAGAGATTGTGATCAAGGACAAGGAAGGGGAGAGTAGGGCAAGAGGTCTGAATGGACCCACAAGAATTCTCCCAACCACTGCCATTCACCAACAAGGAGGTTTTGATAAAGATACTTCTAATTTAAAAACGCAGTGTTTGGCAGTAGCATCCAGGTCCAAACGCCTGTCCACATCTGACAAGCGGAAACGACTAGTCCAAATACTGGGCGAGACGCCGCGAGCCAGGGCAGGGGTACGGGGTGGAGGTGTGCGTCTGCATCACGTGGCTCTCAGCTCCGGACCATCACCTGAGGGCGGCGACTGCTGCTGCGGTGGCGGCTGCCGGGCCCCGCCCGCACCCCGGGCGCCGGGATGCTCGTTCCAGCAGCGGTCTCCAAAGCGGCACCGGCCTTGAAGGAAAAACTGGCAAATGGTCATCGTAGCGCCGTCCCAGCTCGTCCCTACTCGCGGTCAGCGGCGTGGGCCCAGGCTCCAGCGACCGAGGTCCGGGCAGTGTGACGTCATCGCCCCGCGCCCAGAGGTTCTGTGACCAGTCTGTGCGGCGAGAAGCGTGGGCTTTAGCCAATGGGATTTGAGAAGAGTAGAGCTGTCAGCGCTCGGGTAAGAAGCCCGAGAAAGCGAGGTGTTGAAAACGGACCCGAGTCCAGAGGATACCAGATGTAGCAGACAACCAGCAACCCTTTAGTTGGCTGCATACAGTTTGCGAGACTTATTCGTTCTTTACATTTACTTTGGAAAAAAAAAAGATAAAACGGGCTCAAAAAAAGAAAAAAAGCCTGGCCGCTTATCAAGATGGAAGATTTACAGAAAGCCAGCTATAACCAGCAAACAGGACTCAATGCAGGCGAGAAGCATCTATTAGTTTCTTAGTCGGTACTGTCTTACAATTTTACGTAAATGTTGTCTTTTGAAATTTTATCAAGAAGAATGAAAAAGTGTAAAACTGACAGAAGCATCCCGCTTTTCCTCAAGAGCACAGTTTCAGATAAGGGTTTCCTGAAAATATTCAATTTACTGTTTGTTTTGTTTTGTTGAGATCCGGTCTTACTATATAGCCCTGGCTGGCCTCGAGCCCACAGAAATCCACCTATCTTTCTGCTTCCCAAATGCTAGG